GGGTTCTCTATTCTGTTTCCTTGGTGTGTCTCACCTTTATACCAGTACCATGCTATTTTAGTTAGCTGTTTTAGCCTTGTAGTATAATTTGTAGTTAGGTAATGTGATACTTCCGCATGTGTTCTTTTTGCTTAAGATTGCTTAGGCTATTTGGGCTCTTTTCCACATGAAGTTTAGGATTATTTTTTCTAGATCTGTGAAAAATGACATTAATATTTTGATGGGAATTGCATTGAATCTGTAAATCACTTGGGCAGTATGGACATTTTAACAATGTCGATTCTTCCAGTCCGTGAGCCTACCGTGTTTTTCCATTTGTTTGTGTCATCTATGATTTCTATCATCAGTGTTTTTGTAGTTCTCCTTGTAGAGATCTTTAACCTCCTTGGTTAAGTATATATATCCCTTGGTATTTTGTTTTCTTCGCAGCTATTTCAAATGGTTTTGTGTTTTTTATTTGACTCTCAGCCTGACTGTTACTGTAATAGTATATTGAAATACTCCTGATTTATGTACTTTGATTTTGTAATGTGAGACTTTGTTGAATTTTTTATCAATTCTAGGAGTCTTTTGGTAGAGTCCTTGAGGTTTTCCAGAGTCACAAGATCACATTGCCATCAAACAGGGATAACTGGACCACCTCTTCCTGGTTTGGACGCCCTTCATATCTTTCTCTTGCCCGATTGCTCTGACTAGGACTTCCAATATTATGTTGAACAGAAGTTTTCCTTAAACTTTTTTTCTTTTTTGAGACACAGAGTGACCAGTTTACAAAATGGGCTGCCTATTGCTTTAGCTTACATCACATAGGGACTTCTTGAGGAGACAGAGGTCCAAAATACTAATTTTTGAAAATGGAAAAATACTATTTTGTATTAATCTGCAGATTCGGCTCAGCGCCTGTGGCTCAAGTGGCTAAGGCGCCAGCCACATACACCTAAGGTGGCGAGTTCAAATCCAGCCCGGCCCGCCAAAACAACAATGACAGCTGTAACCAAAAAATAGCCAGGCATTGTGGCGGGTGCCTGTGGTCCCAGCTACTTGGGAGGCTGAGGCAAGAGACTCGCTTGAGCCCAGGAGTTGGAGGTTGTTGTGAGCTGTGACGCTGCAGCACTCTACCCAGGGGGAAAGCTTGAGGTTCTGTCTCAAAAAAAACCAAAAAACTGCAGGTTCTTTTTATTGCATTGTGATTTATAGTTAGTAGTACATTTGTTTCTTGAATTATAAGCTGTAAGAAGCACTTTGCCTTAGCATGTTTCTTCTTCTAATTTTTTTTTTTTTTTAATTTTACTTTCAACTGGCTTTCACTCATCTTAGTTTGAAGGGTTTTTTTTTTTTTTTTCTTCTTTTCTTTAGTGATTCCCTTGCCCTTAGCCTCCCAAGTGGCTGGGATTACAGGCGCCTGCCACAATGCCCGGCTTTTTTGGGTAGAGACAGGGTCTCATTCTGGCTCACTCCAGCTCAGGATGGTCTCAAATCTCTGAGCTCAGGCAGTCCACCCACCTCGGCTTCCCACAGTGCTGGGATTACAGGCCTGAGCCACTGCCCCCAGCCCCTTAGCAAGTTTCATGTGATCTTTGTGTAGAGTTATTTAGAATTTGTTACTTAGCAAGTATTTCTATTGTGAATGATGAAGAGATTTTAACTGCTATACTGATAGATGCCTTTAATAATCTTTTACTAATAATTTGAAGCTTTAGTCATTCGTTTATTTTTATTCCTACAAATATTTTACAAAAAAATTTCAGTGCAGCCAGGTGCTGTGGCTTACTCCTGTATTCCTAGCACTCTGGGAGGCCAAGTGGGTGGATCACTTGAGCTCAGGAGCATGAACAAGAGTCAGACCCTGTCTTTGCTAAAAATAGAAAAACTAGCCAGGTGTAGTGTTGCATACCTGTAGTCCCAGCTTCTTGGAAGGCTGAGGCAAGAGAATCGCTTAAGCCCCAGAGTTTGAGGTTGCTGTGAGCTATGACACAATGGCACTCCACCCAGGGCGACAGAATAAGACTATGCATTTTTTCGTTGCAACATAAAAATTTATAAAAAACCTTTGGGTTTGGCTTGGTGCCTGTAGCTAAGTGGCTAGGGTGCCAGTCACATACACTGAAGCTGGTGGGTTCACATTCAGCCCAGGTCTGCCAAACAACAAATAACAGCTGGGTGTTGTGGCAGGCGCCTGTAGTCCCAGCTACTTGGGAGACTGAGGGAAGAGAATCACTTAAGCCCCAAAATCTGAGGTGATGCCACAGCACTCTACCAAGGGCGACAGCTTGAGGCTCTGTCTCAAAAAACAAACAAATAAAAAAACCTTCGGATTTGCTCTGCAAATATTGTTACAAGTTAGTTTTTCAAAAGTTTTCTTATGGAAAATATAAATAATTGTAACCTTGTTGTTCTGAGGTGATTTTATTACTCAGTGTTAGGACCTTTTTAGGCGTCCCAGGACCTTTTTTTCATTTAGTCACAAGATAAGAATAAAACACATTCTATCTCCTGAAAATCTTCTGCTTTGATTATCTGCCATAGATGGGTTGAGTGATGGGGCAGAAAGTATGAGTAAAGAGGAGAAAATGTTTGTGTCTGAGGATTTGGGGAAGAATCCACATGGTGTATTGTTTAAAATTTTTGAGACTAAAATTGGTAAAGTGACCAGGGCTTTTGTTAAGTATGGGGGACTGCACGAGCTTAGGAAGATCTCCATTACCTGCTGCGTATGCACCAGGAGTATCAGAAGACTTGTTTATATGGAGATTGAGTTATTTTTAGCATAAAATTGATATAGCTGCTTTTTTCCCCAGTTTTTGGCCAGGTCTGGGTTTGAACCCACTACCTCTGGCATACGGGGCTGGTGCCCTAACCCTGTGAGCCGTAGGCGCTGCCTGATATAGCTGCTTACTTCCCTCTTGTTGCTCACTCTGTTATTTGATTTAAAAAAAAAATGAACCCGAGTAATGTAAAATTCAAATCAGTTTTTCCAGCAGCATTATAGAATATTCGATAGATACACCTATTGCTTGATAGGAAATTCAGATTCATGTATCTCAGTGTTACTTGGTAATAAATAATTGAGGCAGGTGAAACTAAGATGTAAGGATTCTATTATAGAATTGGTCTTTCCCCTTTAATATTTATCTGTGGAGGTTAGAATTTAACATTGAGTGACATTTTTTTAGGAGGCAGATGAAATTAAGGTTTAAAGATTCTATTATAGAATTGGTCTTTTCTCCTTTAATATTTATATGTGGAGGTTAGAATTTAAAATTGAGTAAGATTTTTCTTTTCTTTTTTTTTTTTTGAGACAGGGTCAGCTCTATCACTTAGGTTCGAGTGCACTGGCAGGACCATAGTTCACTGTAACCTCTAACTCCTTGGGTCAAGCGAATCCTCCCACCTCAGTCTCCTTAGTAGCTAAGCTGGGACTACAGATGCACACTAGTATAGCTGGATAATTATTATTATAGAGAGAGAGAGACAAAGAGAGATAGAGACAAAGAGATAATTATTTATTATAGAGAGAGAGACAAAGAGAGATAGTACATTTTTAAAATGTACTTTTTCATTTGTATGTTGCCCAGCCTGGTCTTGAACTCATGGGCCCAAGCAGTCCTAATCCCTCCTGCCTTCCAAAGTGCTGGGATAACAACCTTAAGCCAACACGCCTGGCCCACTTTTTCTTCTCCTTCCTCCTCCTCCTCCTTTCTTCTTCCTTTCTCCTTCCTCACCCCTCCTCCTCCTCCTTTTTTTCATATAAGAATTTAATCTGTAAACAAATACAGAAAAAAATATTATAGCAACTAGTTTTGCTTATTACAGCACTCAACCCCAGGGTGACTGAGTGAGACTCTTGTCTTAAAAAAAAATAAAATTGTTTAAACACCCACCAAAATTTACCATATGTATTCATTTCTCTTACAAAACTGATCATTTCTCACCCTCTAAAAAACTATTGTTTAGAAAGTAACTGAAAATACTGTTTTGTGAAATAAACATGTTTTACTCACAAAATACATTGTAATGTGACTTTCACATATTGTATTTGTGGGGGAAATTGGAGAAAACTTTTATTATCTTGTGCCATTTTGTACCATGACTTTCTTAGGAAAAAGATGACTTTCAAAGGCATAGTTCCTCCAGTCGAGACACGTGAAGACGCATCTTGTTAGTTTAGTGCTCTGCTGATCATAAGTAAATTACTTGTTGAAAGGAATTTAACAAAAAAGTTTAAGATTCTAAATGACAAATGTGATTAAGTGAACCTTAAAGAATCAATCTACTTAGAATAAAAACCTCACATAAAGTTGTCATTTGAGATTGATAAATGATCATAGGTGTTTAATCCTCTGACTTTAGTACCAAGGCCACATGCCATTTAGTTCTTAGGTATATTATCTCTGCTTTTCTGTTTATTCAGAGATAACCACTGGAATCAGGCAAATGTACTTTTTCATTTTTAAATGAAGAAATTTGAAGCCTAGGACGTTACCTTGCCCAAGGCAAATTAAGGGTTTAGTCACATTGCCATCTGTTGACCATTAGTAGCTACTCTGTGTCTCAAAGGACAGATAATACTGATCAGAATTTGTTCTTGACCTTGAAGCAAAGTTGATGGTAAAAATAATTTTGTCAGTAAAGGAGTAATCACAATTCACCAGTAAAATAAATGTGTACAACTTAAAAAATGGTGATTAATTTATACTTAGTTGTATTCAGTTTAATGAATGAATATACTTGGACTTAGAAGAAAACATTTATTGTGTTGCTTGTCTGAGTACTTTTTATAGATCCTGATCTCCACTTTTTGGCTTCTTATTATACTTTGATTTTTAGTTTATATTCCTTATTAGACTCCACCCATAAAGACAGGAAGCCTTTGTCTTGTTCAGTTGGTTTCTGACACTCAATAACTACACTAATTGTTGACTGACCGCCAGGTGTATATGGCTGTGTGGGACACTTAGCACATTTAAAATATCTTAAGTTAACTGTTTTATTTTTTACAGTGAACAGAGTATCTGTCAGGCAAGAGCTGCTGTGATGGTTTATGATGATGCCAATAAGAAGTGGGTGCCAGCTGGCGGCTCAACTGGGTTCAGCAGAGTTCATATATATCATCACACAGGCAACAACACATTCAGAGTGGTGGGCAGGAAGATTCAGGATCATCAGGTAAGGGTTTATTATAATTCTTACTTAAGATAATCTAGTATGACAGGAGGACTTGGTATATTCAGTAAAATAGTACTTTAAAACTCTAATCCAAGTAGTATCCCTGGAAAAAATTGAGTGTATATTTGCCTCCCCACCCTTTTTACCTTTTATATGAAGCTTGAAATTTAGATGACGATCTGGAACTAATTGTACAAGAATATAAATAAGAGTTTTTCCTATGAATCTTCATTAGATTTCCTGGTCTTCCGATGAGCTAGTTTTGGGAATCTAAAGTAAATTTAGGACAAACAAAAATGAAATACTACTTACACAGCAGATTGTATGTTCATGGGATTTATTTCCTGTAGGGTACGGGGCTAGAGGAAGAGTTGAAAGTGTCATTAGTTTTAGAAAATGTTATTAAATTTGCATATGATGTAAAAATGGTAGATAGTGAGGTTGCTGGGTTAGTTAAGCTTTGGCTGTTTGTGTCTGGAATGACAACTGAGCTTTTAATTCCTTGCTCTGTATTACCTAGATGATCTGATTACTTGACTTCTTGGGCATTAACAGATCAGGAGCAGTACATAGAGGAAACAGCAGATAGGGTCTTTCTAGCATTAATATATGTATTAATAGAGGCAAGAAGTTTTGTAAAGAGTAAATATACAAAATACTTTTAGAAAACATACTTACCAAAGATGTTAAAATCAACCGATATTAACATCATCCTGCTATACATGCAGGAAAAATGCAACAGATTTTCTTCTTCAATGTTCCGGTGAGGTCTTTTAAAGAAAGCTGGGTTCCTAGGTTTCCACGACGATTGGTGGTGTAGTGTATGTGCAGGTGCTGCAGAGTAGCCCTAAGTTTCAGAAAAGAGATTATGAACTGGTAATAACTAGATACTTAGATTCATCATACATGCATGTGGGACTATCAGCCTTTGAGAGGTTGGGCTGTGTAACTGGATATCTTTTCAAAAAATTGGGAATTTTATTGGGGCTCTTGGTCCTCAACAAAAGAGGACTAAGACAAATCCTATTAGCACAGGGAGGCAAAAGAGTTTTTCTGCTGGAGTTGGTTTATTTTTTTTTTGAGACAGAGCCTCAAGCTCCCACCCTGAGGTGCCTGCCACAAGGCCTGGCTAATTTTTTTGGGGGGGAGGGGAGGGAGTCTCATTTCGTTGCCCTTGGTAGAGTGATATGGCATCACAGCTCACGGCAACCTCCAACTCTTGGGCTTAAGTGATTCTCTTGCCTTAGCTTTTGAAGTAGCTGGGACTATAGGCGCCCACCACAACACCCGGCTATTTGTGGTTGTTTTGTCCTTTTTTGGCAGGCCCAGGCTGGATTTGAACCTGCTAGCTCTGGTGTATGTGGCTGGCATCTGTAGCCGCTGAGCTACAGGCCCTGAGCCAACGCTAGCTTTTTTTTTTTAGTTGCCATTGTTTAGCTGGCCTGGGCCAGGCGGAACCCACCAGCATCGGTGTATGTCTGGCGCTGTAACCACTGTGCTGTGGGTGCCGAGCCTGGAGTTCATTTAGAAGCTCCCCTGAGAAATGGGAAACTCTAGCTTGGAACCTGTAGCTCAGTGGCTAGGGCGCCAGCCACATACACCATAGGTGGTATGTTTGAACCCAGCCTGGGCCTGCCAAACAACGACAACTACAACAACAACAAAAGCTGGGCATTGTAGTGGGCGCCTGTAGTCCCAGCTACTTGGGAGACTGAGGCAAGAGAGTCGTTTGAACCCAAGAGTTTGAGGTTGCTGTGAGCTGTGATGCCACCGCACTCTACCCAGGGCTACATAGTGACACTCTGGCTCAAAAAAAATAAAGAAATGGAAAACTCCAACTTTATTTATACAACTCTGGCCAAGAAATTAATAAATACTGGTTGCAGGCCAGTGAAACTCTTGGGGAACGTGGTAAAAACAAATGCAGATCCTCTCTGGAGAGAAATTTTCATAGTTCTGAGTCAGTTTGTAGAAAGCAGTCCACTGCACTTAGCAGATGGATCCATTTAATACAAGCTGTGTCAGCTTCTCCCTCCATCTGCCCTTTTAGACGGTCTTCTTTGTCTCCCCTGTGCTCCGCCTTTTTGTTCTCCCCTTTTTCTCTGTGCTCCACTTTCCCGGTTGTGTCACACAGCCTTTCTCTGGTTTCAAGAGCCTTGTCTGTCCCTTTGGTAGTTCAGTTTGTGTTAAGGACTCTCTGTCCTCTGGTCTCTTCCACTGGAATGCTACAGAAGTGAGGTTGTCATTGTTGCTTAGCAGGCCCTGGCCGGGTTGGAACCTCCAGTGCATGTGCCTGGTGCCCTAACCACTGAGTTACAGGTGCTGAGCGTGTTGGACATTCTTAATTTAACATTCCAAACTAATTGCTGCAAAGTATACCCGCTCATCTTTTCTAAATTTTAGCAAATTGGTCGTTTGATGGTGTTGATGAATAGTCCAATACTAACCAGAAACAAGACTATTTAAAAATAATCAGAAATTTAAGCCAGGAAATTTCCAATTGAAATACTAAAATTTTTGCTCATAAGAGAATTAAACTATTTTGTAACTCTTAGAGTTTTACAAATAAAAATTTCTAAACTGTTTCGAAATCTTAAATCATGTCTCTGAATAATTTGTTACATAAAATGAAATTACTACAAAGATTAGAAAATAAGAAAGTACTAGGACCTGAGTGATAGTACATATATCTTAACTGTATATAGTAGAAAAATACATAATAATTCTCAGCACGTTAGGTATAAAAGTGAATATCTGTAAGCTGATAAGGGTATTCACTATCTGTATTTGCTATATGATTATTATATTGAATAATCATACAGCAAATATCTTACAGGACGGTATAGAGCATTTCTATTAAAATTGTGAATAAGTTGAGGATTTCTGTCCAAATCACTTTCATTTAGTGTTCTAGATTATCAGAGAAGATTCTGGATAACCTAGCAATACAAAGATTAAGAAATAGAAGCTATAAGAATTATTAAGGAAGAAACACAGATATGATTGGATAAAAAAATTTTAAGTAGCTGCTGGTAAATGAGCAAGATTTTCTACAAGGTTGCTGGATACAAGATCAGAATACAAAAATCAGTAGCATTTTTCTATAACCAGTGGTAAATAATTAGAAAATATAATTTTATAGTAATATTACTTAAAGAAACAAATGACAATATACTTAAGGGTAAATCTGTTAAGTAATTGGCTTTCTCTCATTCCAGGGGTATAGTGCTCATTTCCTAATGATTTTCAGTTTATTCTAAGAGGAAAGATGATATTAGAATTTATCTTTTTTGGGGGGTTGGGGGCAGAGTCTCACTATGTTGCCCTGGGTAGAGAGAGCGCTGTGGCATCACAGCTCACAGCTACCTCAAGGTCTTGGGCTTAAGTGATTCTCTTGCCTCAGGCTCCCAAGTAGCTGGGACTACAGGTGGCCTCCACAACACCTGGCTATTTTTTGGTTGCAGTTGTCCTTATTGCTTGGCAGGCCTGGGCTGGATTTGGACCTGTCAGCTCTGGTGTATGTGGCTGATGTCCTAGCTGCTGAGCTACAGGCCCCGAGCCTTAATTGCTCTTTTTGTTTGTGGAATTGAATATGTACAAATTAAATAAATAACTATATAAGTATATGTAAATATATTAAAATACATTCTTTTCCAGCTTAACACTTCCTAAATACTTACCATGTTCTGGGTACTGTGCTTAGGTAATAAAGTTCCTGAAGGAAACTTTAAGGAAAAAGATGTTAAAACATGGAGCAAAGAAGTACAGTTAAATATTTCAGTTATGGAAGATGTAAATCATAGCACAGCAAGGGTGTAAAAGAATCACTGATTTGGCCAGGCATGGCAGCTCATGCCTGTAATCCTAGCACTCTGGGAGACCAAGGCCAGAGGATCCCCTAAGCTCAGGAGTTTGAGACAAGCCTGGGCAAGAGCAGGACCCAGTCCTGATTTACTTTGTGGCAGGTACCTGTAGTCCCAGTTACTTGGGAGGCTGAGGCAGGAAAATCACTTGAACTCAGGAGACTGAGGTTGCTGTGAGCTATAATGTACCTCTGTACTCTTGTTTGGGGCAGCAGATTGAGACTGTGTCTCGAAAAAAACACAAGTTCTTACTGAATCAGCAGATTGAGACTGTGTCTCGAAAAAAACACAAGTTCTTTTTTTTCTCTCTCTCTTTTTTTTTCTTTCTCTCTCTCTCTTTTTTTTTAATTGAATGGTAACTGTGTACATTGATGCACTTTGGGGGTACAGTGTGGTGTTTTCACACACAATCCAAGACACTTCCATCAAACTGGTTAACATAGCCTTCATGTAACTTTCTTAGTTATTATGTCAAAACATTCATATTCTACTCATAGAAAGATTCCCTTGTACCCTTGCAAGATGAGCCACAGAAGTGAACCCTCGAATCCCTCTCCATCCACCCTCTCCCCCTTCCCTCCCCCCTCCCCATATCCTTAGGTTGTTATTAGGTTATAGCTTTCATATAAAAAGGTTTAAATTAATTTCATAATAGGTGTGTGTACATTGGATACTTTTTCTTCCATTCCTGTGATACTTTGCTAAGAAGTACATTTTCCAGCTCCATCCATGTGAACATGAAGGACGTAAAGTCTCCATCTTTCTTTATGAAAAACACAAGTTCTTACTGAATGATACATGTTTCTCCTTAACTTTTAAAGCATTTAAAGATAATTTACAGTATTGTCTATCCTCAAAAGTTAGGTGAATGAAAGAATTGATTCAAATTTAAAACTTTTTTTATATTGGAAAAAGAAAATAATTTACTTAATTTCAATTCTAGTAATTTTTTTACCATGTTTTTTAACATTCTGTTACTGAACAATTGAAAAAGTTAATGTAACAGATCTTTTCCTGCCATTTTAACATACTTACCAAGCAGGCATATAGATTCTCCTTAAAATGTTATTTGTAATTTTATGATAATTATAATTTTTAGTAGCTGAGAATTTCTGGCTCCCACTCCAATGTTTATAA